GAAACCTGTCATTGTTAGCAAGCCCAAACGTTTTTCCCTTACATTTTCTTGGTGGATGACTTTTAAGGAGGATGGCACAGCTGATACATCGATGCCTTGGCACATATTCCATATTTCTGTGTGCACTGCACTCACATGAATGCTTTAACACTGACATAGAGCACTATTTCTGGTAGCTTTGAATATTGGCATTGATGATGTACCTACTGAGAAGTTACCTTCAAACCATCTTCCTCTTCTCAACGTAATGGAACCTTGGTCATGGAAGAACAGGAAGCTAGATTTCTGTTGGCAGGAAAAGCAAATAAAGTTCTTGCAGAGTGCAACCTGCATTGGAAGAAGCCACATGGATAAATTTGGCAAATTTTCCTTGTATGCTTAGATAAGGTAATTCACACCATATGTTTTAGGAGATGACTTTTTGGGTAACTCAGAAGATACCACCACCTACTAAAAACGTTGTATTAAAAATGTAAGAACTAACAAGTGAAATGCTTTATTGGACACTTTTGGCTTCTCTATTTCTAGTCTGCAGCCAGTCCATTTCCCCTAAGAATATCTTCTTGCTTACAGCACAGCCTGAGTGAATGGAGAGAATAGAACATTCCACGTGTGACCACGTGTGCAGTATTTTTACCATTTCCATCTTCTGTGCCATTAACTTCCTGAAAAATTTACCAGAGCCTGAAGCAAATACACTTTTTCTTTCAGGTTCCATTGAGCTCTGGGATTTAAGAGACATCACTTATCCTATTTTTGTGAGATCATTTCTTTTTATAATAAAGAAATTGCAATGGCTGAGAGCTGCAGCCTGGCCAGAGCCAACATTAACACCCATTGACTTCAGTGATGTTCCCCATGGAGTTCACCTTCTTTTGGTGCTGTTTCTAAGCTTCAATATCTGAAATGTGTCAGCCTCAGAAATTCTAGAAGCCTGTATGAGCGGGTGTGTGAGGAGTTGATCCAAACATAAATGAAGTATACAAAACAGGTGTGCCTGCTGGCACTTAGCCTTGCACAATTGCATTGCGTGGGACCAGGGGCTGACACCTGGCTGCTGGAGCTGTGCAACCAACCCATAAGCAGCTCCATCTCCCAGAGCAAGGAGTCACAGTTAGTGGGCATGATGGGGATGGGATGAGTTGGGCTGAAGCATCTTAGTGGTCTTTTCCATCCTTTATGGTTCTGTGAGTCCTTCAGGAGCATTGGCATGTAAAGCTGCTGCAGTACCAATGTTTAGGCTGAGGTGTTATGCAGCTGCTCAGCTGTTCTGGTGCTTACCAACACAGCACTGCAGAGTGTAACTGAGGAGCACCCCCAATTCCTTGTGTTAAGTCATTTCTGAGGCACTGATGAAAGTTAGTCATTGTAATAATTAGCATTGGTTATCAGCACATTTTTATAAAGCAAAGAGGTGGTGTGATGAGGCTCCAAACGCTTCCCTGCTGGGCACTGCTGCTCTCGTTGATCTGATGGTACCTGACATCTCGCCTGGCTTATTAACAAGGCGAGTGAAATGTCAGAAGCCATTAAGTCAAAGTATGCTGCATTCCCTAAGGACACTGTACTGTATGGCCAGAGAAACTTGTAAGAGGATACAAAGATCACTTCAGAGCAAGGAAATGAATGAGCAGGGTCACTTGCCATGAACAGGACTGTAGGTATTTTAGTTATACCAGGACACCATCGAGTCCAACTGTAGAGAGCCTGCTTTGCAGGGGGGTTGGACTCCATATCTCTTGAGGTCCCTTCCAACCCCTACAACTCTGTGATTCTGTGATCAGTACATACAGTGAGTTTTTGTCATCCTGTAAGCATTCTCTGCCATACAGCAAAGTATACAAAGCTTTTTCAACATTTGCATTATATTTATGGGGTGAAAATAAGTCCTTTGCATCAGAAGGGATTTCTCCCCATTGGTTCAAGGATCTTTGTCACCATTTTCTTTCATTCTTCTCTTCTTACAGCTTTAAAACAACTGGGGACTTCTTGAGTTTCCCAGGGGGTTTGATTTGTGTGACAGAGGGCTGAGAAAGCCAACTGATCTGCCAACTAAGGGTGCTCCACAGAGAGCTGTAAGGGCCAAACCTTCCCTTCTTTCCACCAGACTGCCTGCTCTCCATATTTCTTTTTATCCACTCAGATACAGGTGTGTGCTCAATAACATATTTGCACACCCTTCTGTTTTCATCGTAGTGCAGGATTCTGGTCTTCCTTTTTGGCTTCAAATCCTATGCTGGCCTTTGTGCCCCACTGTACATCTTAATGCTGTGTGGATCCAGAGCAGAGATGGGAGTAATAACCTGGAAGATGGGAAGGTGCACCTCAAAGGACAATTTCCAAGCCCTGTTTTGAACATACAATCTGACCTTTTAAGCACTTTGTTCTATTTTTGGTATTTTTACAGTGAAGAGCAACAAAAGAGTGAGATAATTATTTCCATTATCACTATCACTCATGTGATGCTTGGAATTCCCGCTGACACAAACATCCTTCCTGCATATTTAAATCTGTGGAGTGTATGCAGCAATAGTCAGCATGGTGGATGGGTGATGGGAAGCAATTGCAAATGACTGCCTTGGTGTTTTTTCTCTGCAGTAGAAGAAAATCTAGCCTGCTTTTCCCATTGTGTTGAGCATGTATCACAACACAGCCAAGGAAGATTGCTAACAACACAACGTAGCTAACAACACAGCCAAGGAAAGCAGTTCACAGTGTCTTTGTGAAATCTCAGAGCAGACCAAGGAATCATTAAAAGACCTGCAGTTAAGTGAGCTGTTCCCTCTTTCTAAGTGGAACTGTTTTCTCCTGGTGTGTATTTGGTTTGAATTTGCGTAAGATCTTCACGCATGCACAGTCTTCTTTGGTTTGGAAAGGGCATTCAGCCCATAATGTTACAAATTAATGAATTGGAGTCCTTCTTTGATCCCTGCTGAGTAAAATGAATGGAAGGACTTTTAAACTCATAAGCTGTGTATTATGTGTGTATCAACATCAGCTGTCAACTGCTCTAATTGCTTGCAAGTCTGTTTGCTGTTGATTTGAACAAAGGAGTGTTTCCTAGGTGCTGCAGAGTACAAATAAGAACAATGCAAACTCTGCTAAAACAATACAGATTTGTTTCCTGTGTATACCAGAATCATTCCTTGTTTTCCTTCCTCTATGGCATTGTTCTCTGCCTCCATTTCCCAGCACAGGCACCACTTGTCCTCTACCCACTGCTCAGCTGCACTGCACAGGGACACATTCTGCTCTGGATGCTTTGATGGAGGGTCACCAGTTGCTCTCTATGTTGTGAACACACAATTTGGAGGAAATTAGTTCCCCAGAGTCATCACTTTCCTGTCTTTTTAAGCACGCGTGCTGTGTTTATGATGGCAGTCAGGGGTTAAAAGTCGTGTTCTCCTCAGCTTTTCACAAGAGCTGAATTAAACTTAGGGCTTTCAGATCTCAGCAGACCCACTTTGAACCTGACCAGACAAGTGTTTGGGAGCATTGCAGTCCAGCTTTACTTGTGGATTTATTACATATGAGAATGGCCATTCCAGGTCATACCCACCTTGTCCCAAATCGATCTCAAACCTAATTAGCAGTGGATATGCATCAACATATCTGTTTGACAGCTCAGAAGAATTTTCACTTTTAATTATCTTTGGTTTGCTTTACACTGTGGTAGTATTGGGCCAGCATGCAACCGTGGCAAGCAGCTGATAGCAGTGCAGCATCTGGATACCTGCTCCATCCTGGGGGATGGAGGCAGGGGGGCCGAGGGGAAGGAACCATCATTTACCATCATTTGCACTGGTCCTTCCCCTGTGAGTGCTTTAGTGATGGTAAATGGTTGGCAGTAGGATGGTGACCACATGTCTCTTACAGCCACATCATCCCCAGAGCGGGTGATGGAAGTGTTCTGATGGGTTTAGGCTGCTCTCGTTTGGCTGCTGAACTGCAGTATCTCAAGTTTTCAAATTCAATCACTGCTGCTGTCACACTGATTAATATTGATGTGATTTCCCTCCCAGCTGATGGCAGCAACAGCTGCAGCAAGGAGGACTGGGCAGGTATAATGCAAGCTTCAGTTCACAGTTTCTATTGTTCATTTATAAGACAAGGGAGTATACCCTCTTTCTCTTTTGGTTCTTTTTCAGTCCTTTTTTTGTTGTAAGATCAAAGGGAGAACTGTCCAAAGGTGACTACATTCATAAAAACCTATCACATGGTCATAGCAGGGGAAGCTATTTCTCAGGATTAACATCCTGAAGCCAAAGAGATAAATATCTGAGTAAGAATGGGATTCCTTTTCAGAGCTGTTGTTCAACACTTGCTTTCTGTGTTTAATTGATTAACTGGTTGGTAGTCATTCAAGTTTGAACACCAGTTCCCAGGACACGTTGCTAACGTCTGATCATTAGGAAAACCCTCTGCAGTGGTTACATGCACCTGGAACAGCAGCCTGGGATGTGACGCACACCTCAGCTCAGCAAAGCATAAGCCTGGAATAATAACTTCCTCCACAGAAAAATATGCTTAATGAGCTGTTCACAAATACGAATGAGGACGAACAGTTTTCTTTTTCAGTCTCTTGTAAGTAATGATTTTTTAGCTGAGACATCTGAATTCTTCCTGTGTGTCTGTACTGATTTTGTTCTTTCTTCTATTACTCAAATTGTTTTAGGAAGTTAGGAGCTCTCATAAGAGGAGGGCTGGAAGTTTCTGGGCAAAAGATGCCATTCTTCCTCCAAATTCCTTCCATTTCTTAGTGTAATCAGCAAGCAGAAGGATGTGCTTTTTGTTTCCAGCTGCTTGCCATGCTGTTGTACCAGCAGCACTGTACAGATCATAGAATCATAGAATGGCCTGGGTTAAAAAGGACCACAATGATTGTTTAGCCCCAACCCTCTTCTGTGTGCAGGGTCACCAACCAGCAGCCCAGGCTGCCCAGAGCCACATCCAGCCTGGCCTTGAATGCCTGCAGGGATGGGGCATCCACAGCCTCCTTGGGCAACCTGTTCCAGTGCCTCACCACCCTCTGTGTGAAAAACTTCCTCCTAATATCCAACCTAAACAGATCCAGGGCCATGGCTTGTCACTCCCTTGCTTTATTTTAGAGTCTATCTTAGTGATAAATGTTGTAAAATAATAATTTTCTGACAAAAAGGCAAAGTGGGGCTGCTCACTGCTGCCCTGGCAAGGAGATTGTTGCCCTGTTTGTTTCACAAACATGATTTTTTAAACATGATTTTTTGTCTTTGTTCTTTTTTGGGGACAGCACTTTCTAATTAGGAGCCTTGTGCTTTTTCATCACTGTGTGAATTTAGTACTGGAAATATTCTTGGAACACAAGTAGAAAGCTATGAGGGCTTTGCCTGGGTGTAATCAAGACGCATATGCTGTTTTATACTGCTGCCAACTGAAGAAAAGCAGAAGTTCCTGATGTGCATTATCTATTGTGAAGTGCTCTAAGATTTCCTCCACAAAAATCCAGATTTGATAAGCAATTACCAATCTGTAATTCAGTGTCCCAGTTACTGCAACCAAAAGATACAATGGATTACACAGGTAGGATCAAATCCAGATGCCAGGAGTTGCAGCATGCAGTAGATTTGCAATTTGGCTCCTCTGTCTTCATGCAAGCAAGAAATAGAAGCTTGATTTTATCTTTGTGTTTCCTTCTCTTCTCTGCTCCTTTGCAACGAGGACAGTGAGGCACTGCACAGACTGCCCAGAGAGGTGGTGCAGACACCCAAGGTCAGGGAATGGGGCTCTGAGCACTGATGGAGCTGTGGGTGTCCCAGCTCAGTGCAGGGGTTGGACCCGATGGCCTTGAGGGTCCTTCCCAACTCCAACCATTCTGTGGTTCTTTGATTCTATGGAAGTTGCTGGTAGCTTCTTGCAGGAGAATAGTGGTCCATGGGGCACAAGAGGGTGCTGTGCTCTCAGCATACAGCAGCTGGCTCCTTCTATAGTCATATAGGTTACTGTATCTGACATACAAATGAAAGATTAAAGAGGTAAAGCTTTAATATCTCATTAGATAGAAGGCTTTTCAGAATCTCCTTTGTGCTGTGCAAAATTGCCTGAGACGTCTGGCAAGCGAGTGAAGCTTCGAAAAGATTAAAGAGAATTTCTTTTCTGCGAGCGAAACAGATGAGGTATAAAAGTAAGCGATAGCTGAGAAAGGAATAGACATAAACTGACAAACTGCAATGGGAAATGTTACACAGAGAAAAACGGGTCTGGGAGAAACACACAGAAATCAGAGGTGGCCAGAGGGAGGTGTCAGACCTCAGCAGGTGCTGGTGGCAGCAGTGCTGCAGCTCCTCAGTGCTGGCACCTTGCACTGTCTGCATGGCTGCTCTGCGAGCAGGGCTGGCTGCTGGCAAACCTACAGGGTGTCCAGCCCAAAATAATCATCGTCAGTCTCCTGCAAACATCTCAGACAGGAAAGCTCCACAGATTCTCTGGAGAAATTGCAAACTGCATACAGGCATGCAGCGTAGCTGTGCTGGTAGTGTGGCTTACGGTGCTTCTCCTGTGTCAGCAAGGACACACGGGCAGCAGGAAGGTCCATTTCTTACAGAAGGGAGTTTGAGCAAGGGCTGCAAGGCAGGGAAGTTCGGTCTTGTTCCCACCTCTGTCACTAATATGTTCTTGGATCTTTCACAGATTGTGCCTTGCTGTCTGTAGTCTCCCATCTGTGAAACAGGCATAATAACACTGAGACATCTTTGAAGAGAAAATGTCAGGATCTGATTCTGTGTGCTTCACAAGGAGAAAAATAAAGGTCTGCACAGAGGGACCCTTACATCCTGCATATGGATAACTTCACCAAGATCTGTCTTCTGTGTGAAGTTAAGCATGTTATTACTGCAAGACATCAGGTCAGTTGTGCTTACTGACAGGTGACAGGAACAGCTTTATCTCTGACCTAAGGACTTAATTGAGTTAGAGAAGGGCAGAAAAGTAGTTAATCACAGCAGAAGTGTTTGCACAACGTGGCATTCACAGGTTACAAGGCATCAGTTCTGCATGAGGATCAGCAGTTGCAGTTAGCTGGTGATGCAGATTCATGGAGTGAATCCTGAGCACAAGAGGTATTTTGCATCTTGTTCATCTCAGTATTTTAAATCATCATCACAGGTGTTTGATAGGACTTGGCCCCTGTGATTCAGAGAGGCAGCAGCAAGTGCTCCCTTGGCTTCTGACCCTTACTGTTCCTTCTTTGTGCCCACCCCAACATTCTTTTCTAAGTTCCCTTTTACCATACTTCCACACTGGGCCACATTCAGCTTATGCTGTGTACCTTTATCCTGAATGAAAGATGCTCTGAATTGTTATGAAATGACCTTAAATCAGAATCACCATTTTCTCTTTGACCTAGCTGAAGATCTGAGCCAGTATGTGCTGCTGTTTGTCCTGAAGGACGTTCCTAATGCCATCGAAGAAAGTAGCTGCCCTGGTCATTAAAATAGGAAACAAACCACCCTCATTCCTGAGACCAGATTCTTTGCTGCCACAGATAATGCTCCTTGGTTAAAAGATAAATGAGATAAATGATAAATTAGGTAATGTTAATGTCCTTGCTCTAAGGGCTGAGAAGGCATCCAGGTACAGCTTCTGCTCCTTGCCTTTGGTTCCCCCTTGCTGTCCTTCTGCTGCCTCTTTAGAATCAAAGAGAAAAGAGTGCATAGCAGGCAGCTGGGTGCTTGCCACCCCTCACCTGCATTTCTGGGGGTATCACTGTGATGTGATTTCCCATCTGCCGGAATATGCAGCAAATATGCAAACAGGCTCTCAGCTTTTTTTAGCTCACAAAAGCAAGGGAGTCCTTTGAAAGGTCCTCGGTTTTACCCAATCATCGCTCCCTCCCTCGCATTGTGCAGCATTATCATTCTCTGGCAGTGTAAATCCTCACATATGCCTGCCTCCCTCTTGCCTTCAGCCTCTCCCTCCCTCCCCCTCCCCACCGTGCTGCCATCGGATCTGTGATGATATGTGATCTCCTGGATACAATCACACACACACACAAGTACCAGGCACCGCTGCTCAGCTCAGCAAAATGTCTTTCTCGTAGAAGTGGTGCTCATCATCACAGCTTCCGAATCCTTGACGATGTGGCCATGCTTTCCTTTCTGCCTTCTACCTTTTTCTGTCTTTGTCTGCCTGCTCTTCTTACCCACGGGTCATCTTTGCCCTGCTGTCTGTAGCTGTATGGACTACCACACCATAGACTGCCGGGATCAAGGACTCCCCAGTGTTCCCAATCCATTTCCATTGGATGTACGGAAACTTCTTATAGCCGATAACAACATCCAGGCGATACCAGCTGATTTCTTTATATTTTATGGAGACCTGGTCTATTTGGACTTCAGGAACAACTCCCTCACCTCTTTAGAAGAGGGCACTTTTAGCAGTTCTACCAAACTGGTGTATTTAGATTTAAGCTACAATAATTTAACACAGCTTGAAGCCGGGATATTCAAATCGGCAGAAAAACTGATAAAACTCAGCTTGGGAAACAATAACCTGGTGGATGTGGACGAGGCTGCTTTTGAGAACCTGGAACAGCTGCAAGTGTTAGAATTGAATGACAATAACTTACAGAGCCTAAACGTGGCAGCCCTCGAAGCACTTCCCTCCCTGCGGACGATACGCCTGGAGGGCAACCCGTGGGTCTGTGACTGTGACTTTGCCAATCTTTTCAGCTGGATCCAGGACAATGCCTCTAAGCTCCAGAAAGGTAAAGCTGTGTGTGTGTGTGTCTTGGAGGGCTGTCTGTGTGTCCTGCCTGCAAGTGACCCCAACTGCCTTTTGGTCAAACTGTAATTGCATGCTTCCAACAAATGAGTCCATTAAAAATGGTGTTGGTTTCTTTTTAACGGCGGGTCCTCCTCCCAGCTGAGAAATAAATAGTTTTGATTTATAGGCTGAAGTTGCACAGGCAGTGAAGGAGCCTTTTCAAATCTGTTGTGCCCAGAGCTGATTCTCTTCCAGACATCGGTTTCTTCCCGGTAAATACATTCCACAGTGAGCCTTTTGAACAGCTGAATATCCTGCGCCAGCTCCTTAGGAAAACTGTGCTTTCTCTCATTTTCCTGATCAGCCATAAAGCTGCTACAGAAGAGTTAAATCCCCGTTTTATGCGACTGTGGCTGTCAGCCCTTTTCCAGAATTATTTTGTTGTGATGCTCTGAAACCCCGCTCAGATTTCAATTATGGTGCTTTTATTAAAATAGCACCGCTTCCAATATTAGGAACAAATGAAAAAACACTCTGGAACATCCTCAGTGCAGGATATGCAATTCTGGAATTTGAGCTAGTAATTTTCAGAAAAGCATTGGGAAAAAAATAAAGAAGTATTAAGGCTGCCACGTGTAGAGCTTTTGCTCCACATTTCCCATCCGACCCCAAAGCCATCACTGATCCAGCTTTAGCAGATCACCTCACAGTTCACTCCTCCCAACAAACACCAGGGCACCCAGTGCTGCCATCGAGCTGCCCTGCTGCTCATAGAAGGGAAAATGTAAGGGCTGCCATGGGGATATGGGGGTGCAGGAAAGCCATGGTGCCTGGGCTCTGCCTGAGGGCTGTCTGTGCAGGAGATGGTGAGGGGTAAAAGGACGTGGGAGGAGAGCTGGGAGAATGGGCTGAAGTGAAGGGACTGTTCTGTCAGCTCCAGATGCAGAAGGAAGAGGTCTTCCCTCTCTCAATCATCCATTTGCAATCATTTATTCAAGCTCCTTCTGTGCTCGTGACCTTCAGTGGCAACTTTTATTATACTCAGCTGGATTGCCCTAAATATTCTTAGCTGTTTAAATATATATATATATCTATTTTAAGGAAGAAGTAATTTGAGGAAAAAGTGATAGATTTTCTTCTGCCTGAGTGAAGCTTTCCCCTTTCTCCTCTTCCCTATCCCCTTTCCCTTTTCCTCTTTTCCCCCCTATCCCCTTTCCCTTTTCCCTTTTCCTCTTTTCCCCTTTTTCCCCTCTTTCCCCATTCTCTCCTTTCCCAACCAAACTCAGTGCTGTTCTCCCACATTCCCCAGTGCCTCAGCTGAAGTTCTTTCTGACCAAAGCATTTGCCTTTCTTGCACTGGCCCTCAGTTACTCCTGCCTTCCCCATGCTTTCCTTCTTTTCAGGAACTTGTACCTCCTTCCCCTTCACCTGCACTGAGTCTGTTCACTTTGAAAGAGCGTCCCAACCCATCTCTTTCTCTCCTGTCAGTGCTCATCTAAACTTCTTATGTCTGGAAATCTCAAATGATCAAGCTTTACAGTAGTATTGTCAGTGTTCCCCAACTGCTTCAGCATTTCATCTCATCCAAAGTAATGGAAGCTGCATTTCAGCCATACAGCCAAGCAATGACCAGCCCTCGCAGATCTTTCAAAGCAAGAGAAGGGAAGAAGCAACCATTCAAATGGTCATTTCTTAGGTCAGTTCCTCCTTTCCCATCCTGGCCTCAGCAATGCTTTGCTTTACCCTTACTGCAGGCACGGGGCTGCTGAGCTCTTGGCAGCCTGTGTGTGCTCAGTGCCTGCACACAGAGGGGTAAACCCAGCACTCTGTTGGTCATGCTTGCCTAAACCCTTTCACATGGCATTTCTGGGAGTGTTACACCTTCCCCAGCAGGAGCAGCTCCCAGGCTCTCCCTCCTGCTCCATGCTCGCTCCCATTGCTGCTGGATGGCTGGAGATACTCATCCGTGCTGCAAATGCAGAAAAGTAGGGCAGCAGCATTGTCTGGAAACACTGCCAAAGAAAAAGACTGGAATACATTCCCAGGGCCCAAGGAAAGAACTTACTTACCTTGGCTGTATACTTTTATAATACTGCAAAAAACATTTCCATTGCATGGCCTGTATGAATGGAAAAGGGAAGGGCGAAAAAAAGGTTGGTTGGTGCTTTTCTTTTGGTGATTTTCTTTAAGAATATGCTGTGATTAACACTACAGAACAGGTTTGTGACAGACTGACACTCCCCAGACGTTAAATGACAAACACTGTGACCTGGATTTACTGAGAAGGGAAAGAATAGAGAAGGGTGAATGACAATAACTTACATCAGGGATCCCTAGCCCTTCACAAAAAGCACAAAGAGCTGCAAAGAAGCCAAAGGCTCTATGAACCATCATGTGTTTTTTGCTTGGGATGCTTCAGAATTAGAAAGGAAAAGGATGTGCAAAAGTGAGGTATTGGCACAGCTGCCCAGGGAGCGGTGGGGTCACCATCCATGGAGGTGTTCAGTGTGGAGATGTGGCACTGAGGGCAGTGGGCACAGTGGGGGTGGATTGGGGTTGGACTCGCTGATCTTAGTGATGTTTTCCAACCTGAATGATTCTATGGTTCTATGGAAGTGGAAGAGAAACACCCTCCGACCACGAAGTGGATGAAGTGAGAATTCAGACCTGCAGTTTGCAAGTGTTGCTGTGGCACAGCGGTCCCTGCAGGCTCAGGATGGGTAGCAACAAGCAGAAGGTAGAATGGCTGGGAGAAAAGCACTGCCAGGTTTGTGCTTTGGGAGCTCATTTTGGTTCTTCACTTTGAATGACACTTGGAATAGTTTAATCTGCTCTGCCTGCTTGTCTAAGAGAAATCACTCAAGCTGTAACCAGTCACAAAGCCCAGCTGCTGTTCCACCTTTGAATTTTAGCACTGCAGTAAAATATGCTGGTCAAACCTGCCTTTGTTTCTTGCAGAAAAAATACCAAGTTGCTTTAAAAATCAGAGTTTTGTCAATAGGAGTTGAAATCTCACTAATTGATCCTGAAACTCTCTACCTCTGCAATTAAGGCCTCTGAAGAAATGAGGATGGGAACAAAAGCCATACTTCAGCTCATTAGTCTCACAAAAGCCAGGTTCATTTTCTTTCTGGCACACTCCCAGAAAAAGCATGCAGAGCTCTAACTTTGCTGACCTGTCTGACCAGCTGCATGGAAAGCCTCATCTCAGCTCTGCTGCCTTTGCAAATCTGCCTTGCCGCGCACACAGACAGCTGGGATCTGCATCATTGGAAGGCATTTATTCATCCAACCTGAATTGCTAACTAAAGCATTAACTGGCAATGAAAAAAACAGATCTTATTTTTATATTTGTGAGAAAGATATTAATAATGGAACTTTCAGCATACTTGAAAACTGAACCGCATTTTGGATGTGGTTGATAACTGATGAAATAACTGAACTGCAGAGGAAGGAGCTGTGAACAGAATGATGTTGAGTGGAGAAGATGTAACCATTGTTGTTCTCTTCTTGAGGAGACCCATGGAGATAAGAATAATGCATAACTTCTTTTGGAGGTGGAAGAGCATTTGGAAGGTCTCTCTCTCTCATTCTCTATAGAGATCTGTTGCTGATTTTTGCTTTCCATGAACATGCTTTGGACAGCTGTGCCCACCGCCTTGTTCGCTAATGACTAATGTATTCTTAACATGACTTTTAATTAGCACTTAAATATTCTTTAGCATGTGACTGTAGTGTCTCCTTTCCTTCATCTTGCTCTCATTTCTTTCTTTTTATTTATTTCTTCCCAGTATCTTTGAAAGACCTCAAGAAGTTGTATGGCATTTCTGGGACTGCAGATCTAGATGCAGTAGTGCTTTCTCAACTTTCATGTTTGTGCATATTCTATTTAAGTTCCTCCCTATGCAAGACGTGAATGAAAGGTTTTGCTGCCCTCATCATTAAAATAACATTAGAAAGTCCTCAAATGATGCAGTGAGATGGTTCAGACTGAGCACTATGATGTGTACACTGATATTTCCAGAGTGACTTAGAGAATTCATTCAGCGTTGGCCAGAGACAGCACAGTGGTGATGGGACTTGTGGCAATGGGATGGTGGCAATGAGATGGTGGTAATGGGACTGGTAGTAATGGGATGGTGGTAATGAGATGGTGACAGTGGGACTGGTGGCAATGGGATGATGGCAATGGGACCGGTGGCAATGAGACTGGTGGTAATGGAACTGATGGCAATGGGATGGTGGCAGTGAGACTGGTGGCAATGGGATGGTGATAATGGGATGATGGTAATGGGATGGTGGTAATGGGACTGGTGGCAGTGGGACTGGTGGCAATGGGATGGTGGCAGTGAGACTGGCAGTGGCCTCTGGAACTGCAAACTCCAACTGAATTCAGCAGTACTTGGGAGGATCAAAAGTGAATCAGTGCAGTGAGTATGGAATGGTGTTTGTAAGCCATTTTTCAAAGGCTAGGCCATAAGGTGATCATCTCTTGGCTCTCAGGATCGTTCTCTAATCCCATTCCAATCTCAGGTATGCTATTAAATAAATGTATTCTGTGACTTAAAGAAAATAACATGGCGTTTCACTAATCTAGGCCCTTAGAGCAGCCCTTATCAAAGCACAGCATCCCAATGACAGATGGGTACAGTCTGCATGTGACCTTCTCACCTAACCAAAAGGTGGTGAAACCACAGAGCTTTGGGAAGCTGTCTCAATCTCCCATTCTTTATCACACCCCATATTTGCCCTGTGGAGAAGGCTGCCTTAATTTCACGTGCTAATATAGAACCAGGGAAAGCTTCAGCTAAGAAGGACAGGCTGTTCTCCTCTTCTGGCCATTGCAGCCATTCAGTTCTTCCCCAGGAATCATGCATGTGTTGGCACATGACTGGGACAGAACATAATACCCAGTTTTTGGAAATGAACTGAAAGCCTTAAGTCTGCCCGTTCAGCAGCTTTTCTTCTGCTCAAGCAGAAACTCCTAACAGGAATAAGATTCCCTAACAAGCACAACAAATCTGTTTCTATATATACCCATATGTAAATACATAATGTGATATCCTAGTCATTTTCAGTAAAATGATCTGACTGCCACTGGCTTTTCACTCTATTTCTTCCATCATAAGGATTTTTGGAGTACATCCATCTTTCACAGATTTCAAGACACGAGGGCAACATTTGCAGCGTGGCACCTGATGATAAACTTGATATTTAGACAATGAAGCAAACTGTTGAGCACCTCCTAATGTCGATGTAGGAAACTCTGGGGCATTTGACCATTAAAAAATTATTTAGACGTCTAAATATAGACCTCAGGTTTCTTGAAGCCTTACTTTTCTGGTAGCTCAAGGCTGACTTTGATGAAATTCCATCTCTCTTCAGAGGCAGTGCCTCCCTTACCATTTATTAATACATCCATTACATCAGTGACGATGCTTAAGTAGACTAAAGAGAACTATAGCTGGGGGCAAAATATAACCATACAAGAAATTAAATGCCACATTTAAACATCTCAAGTGTGTGTAAACTGCATTCAGTGATACGAGAGAACAGCTGAACTCCACCCAAAGGGGCAAATTATAGAATCATAGAATGGCCTGGGTTGAAAAGGCCCACAATGCTCATCCAGTTCCAACCCCCTGCTATGTGCAGGGTCACCAACCAGCAGCCCAGGCTGCCCAGAGCCACATCCAGCCTGGCCTTGAATGCCTGCAGGAATGGGGCATCCACAGCCTCCTTGGGCAACCTGTTCCAGTGCCTCACCATCCAAATACCAATTTTGCCTCTCCTGAATATTTAAATAGCACATGACAGTGCTCTTTTGTCTACTGTTATGAGCACATGCATTAAGCACATTTACATTTACTGCTTCTTTCATGTATGTATTCCTTACATCTATCAGTGTATGTATGAATGGGCATTTTCATTTTCTCCTACTATTGTGCATTGCCAACTGCTAGGAAACTATCTTAATATTTGTTTTATATGAAGTCCACAACACCCAATAGAATTGAGACCTCCTTCTCCCATTTTTTAAACTCAGCATCCAAAACAGAGCAAGATTTCTTAGCTGCAGAGAGCTAATAGACCATAATATTGAAATAGCAATGACTTTCAGAAGCTATCCCATGAAACATTTAGTTTGCACAGGTATTAAGAAATCAGAAGAGTTATAAGGACGCAGATGCACACAGAGTGCTTGAAATGTCAGGCTGACCTGAGTGAGTGATGTGTGTTGCTGTTGTCTCTAAGCAAAGGAATACGAAACAAAAGCACCACTCAAAATTGCATCAGCAGTCAAAATATGTAGGAAAACCTCATGCTGGATGCAAGGGCAGGTAATTGGAATGCAATCAGTGCTTGAGTCAGTGCAGCATTGGAAGCTTACTGGTCCAGCAGTTCCTATGATGAACGCGGTTGAATCACAGCTACAAATGCCAGTGTTCATGGAGATTGGTACCTGGTTTTTGTTTCTGTTTTTTTCATGAAAAGTTTAAATTTGGAGCACTGCAGAGCTATCATAGGTCTGTTTTCATTAATTTACAAGGGAATTAATTATTAATCGTTTGCATGTGGTTTTGCACAGACTGCTTTCAAACTGCATTCATTTTCTAAGAGTTTCATCTTTCCAGGGGAAGTATTTCAGCCTGTGACTGCAGGACAAACAGAGGTGTGCACAGTCCTGTACCAATGCAGTTAGGCTCTAGCTGAAGTAACTGCTAGAGCTGATTGTCAAGGATGAAGAGTTACAAGCCTCCAATGGCAAGGCACGTCACAGTCACATTCTTTGAAAACCTATGAGGGAATTTCATTGAAATGAACTTCATCTGGAACCCCCTGCATCACTACAGTCTATAAAGAACTGTATATGTTTTCTTGTTCTGGAGTTCCAGCAATTTCACCCTTCCCCTGTTAGTTAGGTGATCTGTTCCCATGTTTTTATCTCATTTCTACAGCTTTCAGTGCCTGTATAAAGTCTAACTCCAGTCCCTTGAGTGGGACTTCAAAGCATTCCCATGTTAAAAGCAAGCAGTGCATTACATCTGCATCACAACTCCAATGCCACTGTACTACATGGGCTTCTTCAGATGGCATAGCAGAAAGACAGAGCATGTGACACTGTCCTTGAGACAGCTGGAGTTGCTGCAGATAATGCAGTGACCCTGACCAAAATAACATAAGCTATGTATTTATAACATGCTCACACTTGTTATTTCACTTACAGATTTGTTTGGAGACTCTTTGAACGTGTTGTGGAAGCAGGGAGATATTTATAACTGTCATCAAAGAGTTTCTTGCTGCAGCCAATACTGAATAGCAGACTTCTTGGTGATGCCCTTTGCAAGAAGCCTAGCTGAATTTTAAAGAATAAGTTGGATGGGTTTTACAGAATTCTATGAATATATATATATAGTGAAAAATAGTGTAATTAAAAGGCCAAAGTGAGTGACAGTAGATGACTGAGGTCAAATGGCACTAGAAGTGGTGTGGGGTGTTCAGAGGCTGTGAGATGATGTGGGATTACTTTCTGCCTAAGCAAGGAACAAAATGGGATCTGTTGCTGGGCATGGGTGTAGTGGGACAGGTGGAACATAGGACATCAGTTCACTCAGACTGGATTCTCATTTGTTACAGACAACCTGATATTGTATGATGTAAAGACAGTTCTGTGTTGCTATGGAAGAAAGCAGATGAAGTGCTTTTGATTACATGTTGTCCTACGCAGCAGTGTGCATGGCCTTCCTGTTATGGTGTGCTCAGGCATGCAGAGAGAAGCCAGGCCTAACACTGACTGCATCTGCTTTGGAAGGAGACACTTCTTGGGTCAGTAGAGTCCAGCTGCTTGGTGCAGGCTTCTGATTTCTGATGCTGTATTTTGCTTATTGATATCGATTATTTTCAAAGACAAAGAATTCTGCAGAAAGGTGAGGCTCAGGTAGCACTTTGGGGCTGTGAGAATGAAAAGAGTAGAAAACTCCTTATCTCATTGTTAGGGAACATGACCTAGATTTCAGTACTCATAGCTACATGGAGAGAGAAGAGCTTTTTTATCCTTTTATTGTCCAATCTGAGTCAAAACTCTTACAATACACTGATTCTCATAGTGAGAAATACCCTCTAAGTGCCTTGGTATGTTGCAGGTACTTTTCTACTTGCATTCCATCTACTGTGATGTTAAATTAAAGCATCTAGGAGCAGGGATAGTCCAGAATAGGTAAAGTAATTGTAAACAATTCACCTGTGCAGTCTGTCTTTGGGCTGCTGAGAGCAGGGCTCAGCTGCTTTGCAGACAGCAGTTCTGCTAAGATGGTACCACTTATTAATGGTTTGTTCTACAGCTGGAGTAGAAAACTGTTTTTTCTTGTACCTGCTGTAAGGAAATGGAATTTGAGGTGGCATATTCACTTGGACCTGGCTTTTCTGTCCAAACATGTAATGATCTTTTCTTATTAGCCAGGAACTTCCCCTTCAGATAAATTTTCAGTAGCTTGTACTCATTTTCTTGCTTTTCTATGCAATAGCAGTAACTGCTTTTATTATTCTGATTTAAAGAGAACTTTTTGCTTTTCTAAAATCTGCCAAAAAAACACACAGGCCTTGTTGTCCAAGCCTAGTGCTTTTCACTTCTCCTTTATTTCTCATGGATTGAAACACAGAAAGGTAACCATCCCCATCCTCTTTGGTTTGCCTCTCCTATTTCCCCCTTGAGTTTCTATTCTGAGGACAATAAGGATGAGGTGCTGCCAACTCCAACTTCTCACAGAAGAAAGCTTTGTACAGGGAGCTCTATCACGAGCTGTGCAATGCAGGACTGTGTTCTTCTTCTTCCATCTGTGCAGGCACAGGCACGCTCCAGGGCTCCAGTATGTCAGCCTGTCTACAAGACATGAGATAAATACAAATACCACAGGTTCCCCATTTCCAAAAGTCTCAGAGGATGTCTGAAAGCAGGAGGATCCTCCACCTTCCAGGCTGGGGGTGGGGGTCCAGGGGGCTGCAGAGCACATTGCTGCACCATCTGCCATGCTTTGGGTTCAGAGGAAGAACAACGCTTGTGTTCAGGTGGCAGCCTGCCTAGAGGAAGCCATTCAGCCTTGGGCAGGCTGACTGCTGTCCTGTTCTGCTGGCAGCTTTTGTCACGTTGTGGGGGAGAGGAGAATGAAAAGGGAGGCTAGCAGCAGAACTGCAGGGAGATAGATAAGGCAGATACAGGATGGCTTTTAAGAATCAAAATTTAGTAAGCTCATCATCATTACAGGGCCACGTAAGTCAGGGTGATAAATGAAATCCCTCGCTGATTTGGCTAAAGCTCCCTGTCACATCAGCATGACAGCTGGGCTGCATCCAGGTAAGCAGTCAGGTTTGCACCACTAGGGCTAGAAGCCTGGGGTTTTAATAAAACCTAATGCACTGTAGCAATTCAACCACAAGGAAAATGAAAATCATAAAGCAGAGGCACACATCCCTTCTGCAGAATGGCACTGTGTTGGTGCTTTGCTGGAGCTGTGCAGTAGAAGCCTCCCATGCACTGCACACACAGCAGTGCAGTCAAAAGCTGAGTCCTGTTTCGTGATCCTTAGCAAACAGCAATGTGAGTCCAGTAAAGCAGCAGCACTTCTCACATCACTAATGCACATTTCTCATATTTCCCCTTTAGATTCATATCCTCAGCAGCAGATAAAAGCTGTCTTGCTAACTGTGATACAGACTTGATTCCTTCAGTGTTCCATTCTAGCCCTATTTATATACTCTCCCCATTTTCGCTCTTGTAAATGAGGTAACTGGGGTTATGCAATGAGCTATGCTTTTACTCCCTACTACTATATTATATTCCTCACCATTTTTAAAATGTGGACATTTTTGCTTTCCCTATGAAGAACGTGGCTCTAGGCATCCTTCAGTAGTGCAGCGAGGCATAATAGCTGTTAGTCAGCGTATCTGCCGAAGAGTTGGAGAGGAAAGGCTGAAAGAGGTCAGAGTCAAACCTAAGGAGGAGCATCCGTTAAACCTAAGTTGTCATTTTGACCAGAAGAAAAAGGCAGCTGTAGTTGTGTACCTGGACAAAAAAATAATAAGGTGTAGAAAGCACCAAAGTGCGGAAGAAAATTCAATGTCCCTGTTATCCCTTTTTGGAGTGAGAATGTTTGTTCAGAAGCATTAGTAGGGAAATGTTCCTGGGTCTCCAGGTGTAGCTGCATCCTGAGTTCAGCAGTAACACTTTGAATTCTCAGAATCACAGCCATCAGGTCGCATCATAGAATCACAGAATGGCCTGGGTTGAAAAGGAGCACAATGCTCATCCAGTTCCAACCCCCTGCTGTGTGCAGGTCACCAACCAGCGGCCCAGGCTGCCCAGAGCCACATCCAGCCTGGCCTTGAATGCCTGCAGGGATGGGGCATCACAGCCTCCTTGGGCAACCTGTTCCAGTGCCTCACCACCCTCTGTGAGAAAAACTTCCTCCTAACATCCAACCTAAACCTCCCCTGTCTCAGGTTAAAACCACAACTTGGAAGAGTAAAAATGAAACAGCATAATGGGGGGATGCTCCAAAGGACTGTGGAATGGCTTTTGGATAGTGTCAAATTTTGTTCTTTTATTTTTCCTGAATTTCATACAAGTTCCTAAGCCTAGAAATAACCCTTAAAACATTTTCCTCAGGCATTCAGTCTCTGTCCAGAGCAACAGAAGGTTTCATCAATATTCCTCTGATTTGTTTCCCTCTCCTCTTCTTTGCAGGTCTCCATGAAATCCAGTGTTCCCTGCCTGTAGAAAATAGAAGAATCTTTCTGAATGAATTGTCTGAGGTCAGCTTTAGTGAATGCAAATTTAGTTTGTCATTGACGGACCTTTTTATCATCATCTTCTCTGGAGTCGCAGTCTCCATTGCTGCAATTCTATCAAGCTTCTTCCTAGCAACTCTAGTGCACTGCTTCCAAAGATGTGCTCCCAGTAAAGATGACGATGATGATGAAGACGACAGTGAGGACTGAACTTAGTCTGTACACTTAAATTTCCTTGGTTTATAAATTAATGATAGATCAGCAGCCAAAGTCTAGGAAGAAAACCAAACTACAAGTTTTAGACATGATTAGATTAAAAGGTTCCATACTGATTTCATGAAGGTCACAGGAAGGAATCACAGTTTGCAGCTGAGACTGTTAGTGTTACTTGCATATGTAACCTGATGCAATGAGAGCAGATTAATTTCTGTCATCATTAGTCAAATGTTGCATTTAAATTTGGAGGCCAGAAGGAAAAGGGAGAAAGGAGAAAAAAATAAAAATGTTCCAGTGTTTTCAAAGACTGCCAGCTTCCACACTGTCCTTCTGAGCAGATGCAGATCCTGTAAGCACTTTGTAGCTTGTTTTAAATGTGCACTTGGAAAAGGGCTGGCTAGGGGGAGGCAGCTCAGCTGGAAATCTGGATGCAATTTAAGAGTGTCTTTCCTACAGTGAATTAATGGGAGATTCTAGTAAGCTCACACAACTTCCTGAGTACCAAAACACAGTTAAAAGGATTCTTAGAACTGTGGAAAGCATAGGAAGGTTGGTGGTTTCTCTCCACGAGTCTTCTCTCTAAATACGCATCCTTCTTTCAATGACTGACAGCAGTTGCAGACATTCAGCCAAAATTTCCTTTTCTACAGGCAAAATGTGGTTGTGGATCTGAGTCATCCACTGCAGCTGCCTGACACCTCTTTGGCTATGGCAAAAATACGAACCATAACGTTCTTCTGCATTTTCAGTTGCAATGAAATAAAGGAATTCCCTTCTATGTAATGCTAGGCACAAGTAATTGTTGCAGTGTTCAGCCTGTTTAGTTATTTTAAAGCACTAAGGGCTATATTCTGCTTCTGGTTATGCTAAACTAGGTGAAGTGAACACCATTATCCTAACTGCATAAACAAGAGTGGAATCTGGCCCAAGATACTTCTGACTGTATTATAGATTTGTCAAAACTTGAGCTCTACTATATTATATTAGTTATTTTTGTTAAAATGAAAAAGAAAAAAAAGACATTTATTACAAGAGATTTTTGGAATAGTGCTGGACAGCTTTTTAGGATAAGTATATTTTTAAAATATTTGTAATGGAAATATTTTTTTAAAGCTCTGTGTATTTCAGATATTATCTAGAATAGCTGGGAGGGCTTAAGGTAAGAAATAATATAGTAATAAACAATCTAAGGACTGTATGCTATTACAAAAGAGCTGATTAACATAGCATCTATTTAACTATTGCAAATGCTATAGTATTTCTTAAAAGAAAAACACTCTGGTTATAATATTGCCTTGCTCAGTTAATATGAGTGGTCCTTTATGGACACTTGGTTCCAAATGTCTTGTATCAGTTGTGCTAATTGCTCAGGCAGACAGGAGCACATTGCACTGCGTGGTCCAATGGTGCAAGGTTAGGGCTTAGGGCACCTGGCTGTTGTTCTGATCCTAGAAGACTTTCAGCAATTCATTCTTTCTGTCTGTGCCTCCATTTTTCCACCTATATAATGAAGGTAATAGTAAATATTTATCATTTTAAAGTGCTTTGAGATATGCAAAGAGGGGGCACTCTATTGGGGCTATATACATCAGGCTGAAGCAGAAGTTCCATAGATCTAATGTGATCCATATCAGTATGGCTTTGCTGGCTTCAGTGGAGTTACTCCATTGGCTCACAGTGTTTGCAATGGGGTTTGCACCACGCTGAGGTTAAAACCAGGGTGAGAGTGTTTACTTCTGTTAGCTCTGCAGCTTATTCAGTGTGACTTAATGCTGCCATTGTTAACATTATTACTTCTAAAAAGACATTGAAACAGAATGAAGTGGGACAGTGAGAGGATATTCTGTATCAATACTGTCTTCTGTTATTCTTTCAAGACAAATGCAATGACATGATTTTCACTGTGTAGTGCCATGTTTCAAAATAACACAAATATATTTCTAATTTCAACATGGGCTTTCATGTTTATTTGTATGTGGGTATGATAAAGAAAAAAAACAACGTCTGATTCTCTTATTAAAAGGAGATATTGTGCAGTATGGTTGGAAATACCCAACTTGTTGCCTGGTAGAGTTCATGCAGCACACTCCCTGTGCAACAAATATGGATATGTTATCAACAGTTTTATATTTAGAGCTGTGCAAATTGTTCAGTGGTGGAACAAGAAACTGGGTCACACCTTTTTGGCTGCAAGTTTTATTATGGACTCAAAGCTTGCATCCATTTAACACAGTGATCTGTCCTACTGAGCCTTCCAGTGAGACACCAGTGAAGGTTTCAGCACATTTGTACCTTTCCTTTGGTCACAAATACATGGTTTTGCTTCATTATCCTGTAAGGCTGACTAATTTTGCAGAGGTCGCATCTCAAACTCAACTATTTTGACTGGCTTCTGCTCTTACTTGCAGGTTCATCTTACTGCGATGCCTCAGAATGAAGATCTAGATTTGTTCTTAGTTTGTAGCATTTTGTTCAGCCCAACATAGAGCTCTGAAAGCCCCGATTTTATTTGGAGCTTAGCACCCCTCAGAACAGCAAGGAACAGACCAAGCTGACACCCACATAACCCAGTGCAAGCAGAAGAGCAAGGCTTAGTAAAGCTTTATTTATGAAGCTGCCATTCAGGACACTCCATCACATCAAAGTGATTTTACAAAGTATGTTTGCTTGTTTTTTCCAGATAAGAAACTTTAATAATACTTTATGTTACTGATTAACATCTAATTCATTAGTATTGAATTCATCCAGTTAGAAATATTTTTCCATTGTTGGCATCAACAGTTACATAGTAATTATATTGATTTTCCATATTTCTAATTGGTGGTAAATGGGGCAGAACTTAAATTTCATTCTCATTGGGATCTTTGTTGCTATATGTAACCTTCAGCACTAAACATGCCCCTGTTGGTTGGTTGCCAGAACTGATCATCACCATAATGATTCCCTGCAAATAGAACTGATGAGAAAGTGTCCCCAGGTTTGTTTTGCATTTTTACTGCAGATTCTTCTCCACAAAGGCAGTGGCATGGAGGTTACCCCATCTGCAGCTCTGTGGATGTGGGAAGCCTCCCTGAGAAGGGATCCTTCTAAGGATGGGATGCAGTGAGCTTGCACTCAGACTGCAGTGACTCCCATTGGTGAAGCTGCCAAGTGGAAGAGCTGAATTTAGCTCCCTGTGCAATACATTGCTAGCTCAAGAAACACTGTCCATGCATTGTTGTAAACATGCAGTAGCAACTTTGTCCTCCTTGACAGTTTTCTTCTGAAATGGCTTAATTTTTGTGATGGTATCTCCCACTGTCAGAAACGAATAGACATTTTACCTGCTTCAAAGGGGAGGAAAGATACTATGCATGACCCAAATAAAATGTTGCAGGCTCAGAGAGCCAGGAAGCAGCTGTCACATCGCCTGCAGATATGTCTCCTTGATGAAATGCTGGAGTTTGGTATGCGTGAGAATCCAAAAATGTGCAAGAAAGCAAATCTGCATAATGTAATTGAGATACAGACTGACTTTTTAGAAGTGTGCACGTTGAGTTAAGAAAATGTCTAATCCCCAGAACATTAAAATTAAGATCACCTGAAGCGACTGTCCAAACCTAGCATTTCATCCTCAGTCAGCCTGTATCTTTTTGAGACAGCTTCATTCCTGCTGTGTCTCTTACTCAGATGTGAGCATTAATGGGTCGAGTTTTGGAGCAGCATAAAAATGCATTGGGGAAGTACCTTGAAGGGATGGTTCTGGAAGCTCTTAAAGAGGAGCATACTGCTTCTCTCCCTCAAATGCATAGTACAAGGTGAGTCACCGTGCTCTGACAGCTAAAATTTAGCCCAGCTTACTTAGGGACAACCTAAAATGGTCTTGTCTTTCTTCTGTGGGAATGACTGTGTGCAATCACCTATAAGTAGGTATAGGGTATTGGATAGGATTGCACACACTTGTGCAGCAGGGAGAGAGTGTGTGTATAACAATACTAGAGCTTGCTGTAACTATCACCCCTGTAGACAGCCCCAGTGGAATAGCTGAAGCCTGATGGAGATGCTGAGCCTGAGACAGTGCTTCATCCCTAGTGGAGGTCCCTCTGTGCTGACTTTCAAACCCATGGGAGCAACTCTGTGCAGGACTTTTTACTGATTCAGCATGTGCAGCCTACACACTACGTGAGTAAATGAACTTAGTTTCCAAGTGGCTAGCTGGCACACTGCTAATTTAAGCCCAAAATAAAGGGCTTGGCATAGTTTCTGAATAGAATAATTCCTCTCCATGGTACCATGAAATAATGTCATTTGTCCTGTAACCTGTTTTTACTGACCTCTAGCTGCAACTGTTGCTTTACTGTGGAGGTAAGTCATGGTGATTCATTGTGGTGAATCTTCATGTGTATCTTCACATTTTGTCTGCATCTTAAACAAGATAAATTCAGCTTGGTATGAGCTCTGCACTGTGCAGCAATGCAAATCACCAACAACCATCAGCAGCAAACTAGGAAAAACACTCTTTTGTTCACAGTGACCAATCATCCATCTACAACTGTAAATAATTAGCAGGAGAAACCTATTGGATCTTAAACTGACAGATGTTGTGTTGCAGAACAGAGTGCCTGAGTTATGAGGTGTCTCTCCAGTTCCCATCAGCTCTTACGGCTCACCAAGAGCTCCATGAAGCCATGTGTAACGTTAGGTTAGCAGGCATTATGTGCTTTTTTGGGGGTTGTCAAAAAAAACATACGAGTAAACACTTCAGAACGGGCTTTTACTGTTGGTTTAGTGGGAAGTGAAAAGTTGAGAGGGAGGTGAGCAGCAAATAAGGGGTGAAGATGACAGCTTGGGCTGGAGTTGTTCAGCTAAGTTTGTTTCACAGCAGCATTGTTTTGATGGCAGAGCTGCTTTTTCTCCAAGCATTAAGTAGGTTCTAAAGGTTAGCCCCTTCACACCAAGCATGAAATGGTATAGCCTCTTAAACAGTAACTCAAACTTGAAGGAATAGTTGCTGGTAGAGTGTTTAAAGCTTGTTGCTCACAGCACCAGTTGCCTATTGGAAAGCTTTAGTTTGAATCTGAAATGCAATACGTCACTTAATAGGTTGTACAAAAGCCTGAAAGTCAGGAACATCCATATAGACAGTGGTGCTGGTGAGATGTGCTTCAGTTGTTTCACCAATCTGAGGTCACTGGAGTATAAGTGGTTGGACTTTGACTCTCTCTTTCTTTTTCTTTCACCACCACCAGCTAAGGAAAGCACAGGATAGAGGCACAGTACAGCACCTTACAGTGTCCCCTTAGCTACAACAGAGAGCAAAAATAGGATTGAGTTGAGCAGTAAAGCCAGCTTTGTGACCTTTGCTTAAAAACTGAATGTGATACAGTCTGGCTATCTGACATTCCAAGGCATAGCTTGGTGTTGTTGTCTAGGGCTTTTGCTCTTTAATGAGGGCAAGTGTTGGAAGACTTTATAGTAGAAATAATATTTAGTCTTCATGGTACATAACAGGGAATAAATAAAATGAACATATTTGACAAACAGTTCTGGTCTATTTTTGCTCACCAATTTTTCTCAAATTGAGTGACTGTCGCTCTTAAGAGTAGATTAGGTTTGCAATCTGCAGTGGGTTAAAGTATTACTCTTTATCCTTTCAAGATCTGTCTGCAAATGTGAATTTGGGTCACTGAAGGAAATGACCAGAATAAATCCCTTATGGTCATCGTAGTCAGCTGGGCAAATGCACAGAGAGGCTGTTATTAACAATATAACTATTAGTGAAGATGAAAAAATATTTCATAGAATCACAGAAAGCCCTGGGTTGAAAAGGACCACAGTGCTCATCCAGTTCCAACCCCCTGCTATGTGCAGGGTCACCAACCAGCAGCCCAGGCTGCCCAGAGCCACATCCAGCCTGGCCTTGAATGCCTGCAGGGATGGGGCATCCACAGCCTCCTTGGGCAACCTGTTCCAGTGCCTCACCACCCAAATACCACTTCCCCAAACTCCAGATATAAACATGGCACCTACTGGTTTTATAAAAGGTTAACCAGAGAGATATCACTAATGAAAATGAGAGATTATTAGATGATGGAGTAATATTTTTGGAGGTGACCATAAATTGAGCTATTTGTTGAGCATTTGCCTTAGTTTCAACATGGTGATGTTAAAGCCTATATGCTGGCAGAGGAGGTGTGGGAAAGCAGCAAGAAATCAGAACTTCTGTATCTTCACATGGTAGAACAAGAGTATGTTGCTCTATGAATGGTTTCACTGCTTTCTTCCCATAGCAAGTTGTAAATGTCATTAACTAGCTGTGAATGTATTAACTAGCTTCAGATAAGGTTTTGTGTAGAAAGTAACAGAGGAACAATAGATACAAATATCCAATATTGGTACTTAATCACTGAATAACTGGAGGTTGGAAATTCTCAAAGTCTAATTGCAAATTGTTTCCAGCAGTGCTGTAATTTTGAAGCAGGTCTGAAATGAGGTATATCGTCCACAGCTTCAAAAAAAAAGTTATTTTTAAAGCAAAAACTGGAGGGAAAAAGAAAAACCTTTTCAGAGATTATTTAGTCTGGAATGGCTTTTTTAACTATCAATTGAAGAAGCCCTGCAATACTGGATTTCAGATGTTCGAGCCATAACCTCATGATCATTATGCCAAACGACAAGAAAATCACTACAAATTTAACACAGTTAATTTATGTTATTCCTTGGGGGAACAAAAGCCATTAGGCTGAGAAATTTGCATTGTTTGCAGAAGAAAGTATTTCAGGCAGGCTGATTTCCTCACATCCCTTCCATAGTGGCATATGGGACACAGCTTATTCACCACTGAGCAATGTGTTGGTGTGAGCACAGCAAAGGAAACAATTGCTTTCTGCTTAACCTGAGCTGTGCTTTAACAGTAATAATTTTAGTTGGCCTCAATTCTCATTTCACTGCATTATTCAGGATCTGGTTCTTATTTTCTAAAGATTGGTAGGGTTCTGTTGGTAGGGCCTTTGGCAGTGATGCTCTGTATGTGTTAGTAACTGGAGTTTGTGATTTCTGCAGCTGGCATTGTTTGGAGACTGCAGGCATTCTGTGCAGAGACAAGACAGCTTTCCAGATTCCTTCTGGCTTTGGAGGTATTGCTCTCAGGTCTGTGAGAGGGGCATCTGACCCAACTTACCACAATTTGGCTGCAGCCTTGTGCGACTGACAGCACACAGAAGTTGCCATTCGAAGCACATTCTTTTGATCTGACAATCACTGTACGTCGATGTTCTAGTTTGATGATGGATTTATAATGAATGTCTTTAACCTCAGTCTAGCCCAGCCATCTGCTCTGTGGAGCAAGCTGGCTCTTCAAAGCCATTTTCTGCTTCAAGGTGTCTCCTTGTAGGCTACAGAACAGTGAGTCAGCTCCTC